GATTGTTTACGGCGCCCACAGAATTATATGATATCAAAATTGAACTGTATACATAGAAAACTATTTGCAGAACAACTATATAAAAATATTTGAAAACTTATGTGAAGTAATACCTTTTCAAAATTAGTCCGTCTTCAGACGCCACCAGACGATCTGAGATCGTCTGAAGCATATATTTCTGTCACTTCACATAAGTTTTGGATTTTTCTATCATGGAGGGGTTTTCCGGTCAGAAATCTATCCCTGAGCATGAAAACATTTCCATATCATTGCCTTTCCTTTGTTTTTTGCCTATCTTGATAAATGGCTTTGTTAAATATCGCGCTCCAATGCCAAACTCTTGTGCATGCGTAGTATTCAGCTCTAAATTAGATTTTCACTCTTATCCCAGGTTTTTTCTTTCAGACTAGTAAATTTGTCTTGTTTTCATTTTCTCCCAAGCAGGTAGGTCAAAGAGGACCTCGTAAAACTTCCAAAGTCAGGGGACTTCGTTTTCAGAAACCCTAGAAACCGACTCGTGCCGGGCCCTGCTTGCAGTATTCCCATTCCCACCTTATCGAAGGCTCGCCCAGTACACTCCATTTTTTCTCCATCAGTTTCCACTTTTCCCATTTATTTGCTCGACCACCCGATTCTAGCCAAATTCTTCGCTAGCTCGGCAATCTCTTGGCCCCGCCCCATACCCAATTCTCCGCTCATTTCTCCCCCACTTTCTATTCAAACCCACCCTCCCGTGCCCGGGTCACTAATCCTCCACTAACCACCGATAAAACCAATACTAACCGATTTATATATAGAGATCAAAGACCAATGTAAAAATCTCCAGATACTATAGGCCAAGGCCCCTTTACATTTACGCTGCTGCCAAACTTTCTCCAACGACCGATAGCGTAACAAGAGTAGTAATATTGCTATGCCGGCGCCTTGATGATTCCCATGAAATTATTATTCCATTTTGATCATTTACTGAGTTCCTTCAAAAATTTCCAAGTTCCTACTTTGCCTATTTGACCTCCGATTTTTTTGTAAATTTTTCTGGAATAGCGCCTTCAAATATAAACAGAAATGCGGGCTTACGACCACTCCGTCCCTTTTCCACAAAGATATGCATAAAAATGACTTCGCCAACTTTATAAACCCCCAGCTTACAAAAGTGCTCAAAGCGTGCTCTTATCATAGCAAGTTAGAGCTCACAAAGCATAAGAATGACTACCTAGCATTTGCCCATCAGCGCTACTTGCTAAAATATGAGGCCTAATCAATAAAAATTTCGCACTTGGTCAACTAAACAATTTTATGGCAAAGTTCTTTGGAAGATCTCAACTTTACTCTTTTCAGTCCCATATCTACAATACTCGTAAAGTTGCTTCCCTAAATTCACGCATATAAGACGCGCCTTTTTTGGTTTATCAAACGTGCCGCTCAGCGCCTCGTTGTATTTCGGAAAATGAGACTTATGCCGCACTATACTCTCAGGCAATATGCAGCACTGTAAGTAATTTTTTGTTGGCAAAGTCCTTCGGCGTGTCTGTGCTGTTCGATTTGAAAAAAATTCCCTTTCCCCCTCCTCCCCGCGTCCTATACGCGTGAAATTAGGGTAGCTCTCCAACATGCATGCCAATGCATGAAATCCGGTCATCCAACGATTCTTTAGAGTTTTTCTTGAAATTAGCGTGATTTTCTGATTCATATAAAACAACGTTACTTATTTTTTGCAGGCCCTCATTACAGTAAGCGAGATATTATCAAAACTTGAGCTACTTGATAAACCGTCAGGTACAATACCGCTCACATAACGTGCAAAATTTCAGTGAATGTCGCGAAATTCCTTGAACTTGGCGAAAATCCGCGACATTCACGGAAATTTTGCACATTACGTGAGCGGTTTTGCTTCTGACTGATAAAGTAATGAAACAAAAATTTTCTCTCGTAACAAATGACCTCTAGACGCTGTGTAAATTTTTCATCCAAACCTTGATGCCGAAGTGTTCTATAAGCTTACAGTTATGACAGTGGAATACAGTTATGACAGTAGAATGTAACAATTCTAGGCGAATTCGGCAATGTTGGCGAATTCCGCGAAATCGTCGACTTCGCCTTTAGCCTAGGGTTTTCACATTTCAAAGTCATAACTGTATTTCTTTTTCCTTTTAACATCTCGTTTCTAAGGTCACACAAATGATTTCCAAAAATCGATTGAAGATTATTGTCACTTCGAAAGTTGTCATTCTTTCCAATTCGTCGTTCTGGACATAAAGAGCATCGATCGCAGCGGATAGAGTAAGTGTTGCGGCTCGGTGTGCTCAGCATTCCTCGCCCTAGTGCTCGTTTACTAACAACACAATCCTGAAGTTCAGGATGTTCCACTTCTGCGCTAGTGTGCGCACTACCTAGCACGTCCGCTCGACGCCTACACCCCTACCCGTACAAACAAACGATCACAAGCGCGACTAGATTAAATTACATTTACTGAAACATAAGAACAGAATATAAAACCTAAAATTACTAAAAAGACTACTACTACTACTACTAGAGAAAGAAAATGGGCACGGGACAGCGGCCTTGTCCCGTGCTGCCGATGCTCCAAGAAGATCATCTCCAACATGTAGTTCCGGGTTCTCCACTGGGTCAGCCTCAAGTCCCAAGCCCTCACGGGACGGTGCGACACCTTTCCACTCCCGCAGTCGCTATTCATCCACACGAAGAACTACAGGATTTGGCTGCGCGTTTCCAACACAAGAAGAACAACAAGGGCTCAACCGCTCGAAACCGTCTATCATCTGCGGGAGCTACTGCAGACGCTGCCAGCCCAAATATATCATAAAACAATCGATAACAAAAAACTCGGCGAGGCACACACCGCTGACTGCGCGGCCTTATATACCCCTTGACTTGGCAGGCCCAGTAAGGGAGAGGTCCGGGCGCGAATACGCAGCGCGCTCGGTAACACGACAACCAGCGCTCCCGGCCTCCTGTTACGAGGAGTGGCTTGCATCGCGCGAGCCGCGACAGTAAGCATTTTGCAACAAAATGAACTTTTAAGCACCCACAACTAGCTTTTTTCGAGATGATACTCTAATTTCCAGAATATAAGGCGCACCTGCCGCGCGCGAAAGCGCGACAAATGCGCTTGAAGGCAGCGTCCCACCAAACTGGGGGTACCTGGCTCTCGTAATGATGTAATAGTAGACCCCTGGACACTGCCTTTGAATGCAGTGTCCGGGCAGGAAGTCGATTTTGTGGTTTTTTGCTTACTTGCAGCTATCCGTTGTGATGAATCCAAAAAATCTAGCTGGAGAACGCGGCAACGGCAAAAAAGGCTCTAAACGCAGGAAGAAAACAGGAACTGGGCTGGGCTTCCCATCTGTTAAGTGACTTTCCCAGCTTCAGGAACGATTTTCTCAATTCCGATTTTGAATCAATTGTTGGCACTTGGCCGGCGGCTGTGGCAGGGCGGCTAACGGAAGCGAGAAGCTGGGAGGATAATTTTACGGCTCCCTGCTGATTCCCCTTGAAGGCAGTGTCCGGGCAAAAACTCGATTTTGAGAATTTGAGATTCTCGGGGCTATTCGCTACGCTGAATCCGAAAAAGGACATTGGAAAGCGCGAAAACGGCTCTAAAACATGAAGAAAATTGGCAAGTGGGCGGCGTGCTCCCCACTGTAAATTCATGCCCTCGCTTTCCAAGCGACCTTCTCGCTTCCGGTTTCAAGTCAGTCATTCGCACTCGGCTAGCGGAATCGAGAAAACTGTCTCGGAAGCTGGGAGCGTGAAATCACAGTGAGGAGGACCTGCCCATTTCCTGTTTCCCTTCTGCGCTAGAGTTCTTTTTGCCGTTTCCGCGCCTTCCAGCGTGCATTTTCAGATTTACCATGCCGAATAGACCCGGATAAGCACAAAATCAAATCAAGTTTTTGCCTGGACACTGCCTTTAAACGTTGGGCTCTCGCCAAAGTCCCGAAACTACGCCAGCGCTGGGCCGGCACCGGGCAAGCGCCGAGCTATCCGCGCTGTTTTAATCGGTTCACGTGCATTTCGTCCGGAATGGGGTGAGCTGTCCCTGAGCCCGCAAAGCGCTACCGGATTTTTTGACAGGGATGTCAATAGTCGTGCATTTACTTTCCTTAGAATTAGGTGAGCTAGCCTCCGCCCCAAACAAAATGCACGTATATCGATCGAAACAGCGCCGGCACAGCTCGGTGGTGCATTGGCGTGGCTTCAGCACTCTGGCGGGAGCCTTAGAATCTTGCCGTTTTCGCTGTTTCCAGCTGAATTTCCGGGTTTAGCATATTTGGCCCAGGTAAGCAAAGAATCTCAGAATCGATTTCTTGCCTGGACACTGCATTTAACGCCACTGTCAAGACCATAAGTTCCTTAACGATTCTGCGTTGTAATGGTAGTGGACCGCTTGCTAAGGTCAGTATAAGGTTGAGAAAGTGCGCTTTCGCTGTTTTTACGCTTTTAGGTACAGCTACAGGGCTTATCAAATGAAGTGTTGGGTGAACCAGCATCTCCACTTCTGCGCGGGACTCTGCGTCTCTTCGCGGAACATGCTCCCCATTCACTTCCAGTTGATTGAGGCTCCGCCTTTCCCATGTGCTCGCCTAAGAAAGTGCTTAGAGAGCATGTTCCGCGGAAGAGACACAAAGTCCAGCGCGGAATGGAGATGCTGGTGCACCCGACACTTCATTGATAAGCCCTGTATTATGTGCTACCACAGATTATGATAAAATTGTAGGTAGGCGCTCGGACACGTTGCTCCACATGAGATGCTTCGGCCTGATCCGCATTGAAAGAAGATATAATTCTCAGTGATCCTTCAAATTGCCTAGATAGTAAATCTTAAAAATCCGTCTGACGGAGATATCGACTTCGGGTTAATTCGCTCAAGTTTTGTTGCAATATCCCGGTAACCAAGTGAAAAATTGTTATTACTGGGTTTTGTAATCTCTTCGATATAAACTATCGAATGATATTTATTATGTAAAAATGACTTGTGTTTATGACAAGGTGGGTTGGGTTGACCAGCCTAAAGTCATCACTCCTTCTGCTTGAGAGGGTTGAAACAAAACAAGTTCATAATAACTCACTCTCTTCCATCCTTCGTAGTCATTTAAAAGGCGTCTGGCAACTTCTCTGCCCAAGGGAACTCGTTGCAATCCACTGTAATAAGTAAATGATTGGGTGTTGTAACGCACAGGCGGCTTACCGATTGATTTTGACTGTATGGGGCGGTCTTCCTCGCCCAGGATCATGTTCCCTGAAAGTCGTGAGCGCATCCTGAGCAGCGCCAGCCGTGATGCAATCAGGATCCTGCAAATGTTGCTTGTACTTGCATTTCAACTAGCAGCTGACGACCAACCAACGTATGACCTGTCTGGGACTTGACTTCCAATTGGAATCCCGTAAAAAAAGCTCTACGAAGATGCACTTTTTGCGCTTTACACGGTGGATCTCCCTTTTCTGGATATTCTGGCCGTGGCAGTTCTGGGTAGAATAACTGTAATCCTCAGTCAGTACTGCTTATCGAGTTATGCAAGTATACCAGAAATTCAACCTACTTTGGTAAGGCCAAGAATAAGTCCTCCGACCCAGAATATCATTTGAGTTCCACAGCTAACCACTTGCTGTTATTTATAATGGCGACATGAGCCTGAATTAAATAAAGCAAAAAACAAGTGCACATCACCTTTCTCTGATGTTTGAATGCACTCGTTTGGCAGAAAGACTCAGTGAATTAAATTGCACACTGCGCTTATACTGTTCCATCTTTAGTCTAAGAAACGCGGGCACAGTTTCTTGCTTGGGAGCATTCACCCAAAACTCAAGTTTCCTAAGTCCACCAGTATACTTGGGGAAGTTTGAAATTTTTTTCGAATATTCGAATATCGAATATATTCGAAAATTGAAAATTTCGAATATTCGAATATCGAATAATATTCGAAAATCGAAGTTCTCGAATATTCGACTATCGAATATTATTCGAAAATTGAAAATTTCGAATATTCGACTTTCGAATATCATTCGAAAATCGGAAATTTCGAATATTCGACTATCGAATATTATTCGAAAATGAAAACTTCGAATCGAATAATATTCGAATATCGAATATCATTCGTTATTCGAATTTCGAATATTATTCAGTTCTCGAATGTTATTCGATTTCCGAATATCATTCGATTTTCGAATACTGACCGAATAATTTACATCATTGAGACTGCCTACGAAAGGCCAAAACGCTAAGAATAAATTGTTTCATGTAAATGATAAGAATGGACACATTCTTATGGTACAATTTACGATGGAAAAACGGTTTAGTCGTGACGTGAAGAGAGAGACCTAGGAACCAAGCTACTCTTATGACGGTTGTGAAAAGATTTTTCATACTTCAAAGAAGATTATATACCCTCACTGAGAGTTGCGATTGGGTATACAGCGGTCCCAACATATGTAGATCTGTAGGCTGACATCAACTTAGAGTATGGGGCGATTTATCAATCGCTTTTCACTATTGTAAAATTACCGTAGGACTGAAGTGGGTTTCAAAACATTAAGAGCCATTTCCCTAAGAAAAAGAATCAAAAGGGCTGGAAGTCTTGCTTTAGATTTCTAAAGACACTCACTTTATGTAGAATTTGCACTCAACCGTAATGCTTTTTCAAAACCTACGCCAGGTATCCTGTGTGCCCCAGAAAAGTTTCCATGTGAATCAGCTGCGTACGTGGTGCAACGCTGTTTTTTGCCCTTTTTGACACGTTTCTCCTGAGATTTCAACGGAAATGCCCGAGGTTAACACGTTCAAAATAGCGAAAGGCAGCGACATGACGTGGTGATACCTATGGAAATTTTGCTGGGGAACAAACGATACACCGCAACAAGTGTTTTGCGACGCCTTTCAAAAATGTGATTGCCATTTGAAAAGCTTGAAAACTCGTGCATAGTAAAATCAGCATAAGACCTTTTTGGGGACAATTTTTTTGGATGTCTTATTTTGCAGTTGGTCTATAAGCTGGAGTTTCCTACTGTGATAACACACAATAAAAAAGCATGGGTGATTCGCTTTCTGCTGTATTTATAAGATGAAGCCATCCCTACTGGATGTTACCCAGAAATTGGCAAAAGATTTTGAGAGGTATTAGCGATCAAACAGTGTGTAGATACTTTTAAGACACCCCGTATACCCTATGCATATCGAATACTCGAATATTCGGTGCTTATCGAATTTTCGAATAGTCAATTCTTATCGAATTCTCGAATATTCGGCGCCTATTGAATTTTCGAATAGTCATTTCTTATCGAATTATCGAATATTCGGTGCTCGACGAATATTCGAATATTTGATGGACATCGAATGATCGAATGAATGACCTTCGAATATTCGACTATCGAATAATATTCGAAATTCAAGATTTTCGAATATTCGACTTTCGAATAATATTCGAAAATGAAGATTTTCGAATATTCGATTATCGAATATATTCGAAAACAAAAAATTTCGAATATTCGACTTTCGAATTTTATTCGAAATCTCAGATTTTCGAATATTCGACTTTTCGAATCATTCGCATTCGAATGATTTATTCGAATGATCGAATAATTATTCGATTCGGTCCCAAGTATATCCACCAGTATCTTTCGAAGGAAAAATTTTGAGGCCTTTTCACCCTCTCCAAACTTGCATTGCATGAACAGTTTCGATTAGATCACAAATCGATAGCCAACACTCAAATACTGCACTGCTATGAATGTTGCACTCTGTGGTTTTAATGCGGTACGTCATTAACACCGGATAGATGTACTCTTTTGATTTTATGATCGTAGGTTATCATGCGTTTCTATCAATGGACTTCTAACTCGTTTTTACGGTTGGCAGAATTCATGTAAAAGGTTCTGCTGCTGAGGTAGCCATTATGCTACCTATTCCCAACAACTGCTTCTGCGAACATGTCTTGTCAAAGCGTTGGATTCTTTAGATTTCATTAAACCAGGTCCAAGATAAGCTTAAAGTGCCAGCTATATGAAAAGTCAAGTATGTCGTAGTCTCCCTACCTGCCATTTTTTTGTTTGAGTTCACCACTTCCTGAAGGATTGTATGACTACCCTCGGGCTGAAACACGGATGTTCCTAGCACTGAGCATTTCATCAACCATTTCACCTTTTGTCTGATACGGAAGATCAAAACCGGTTGTTGTACGTTATTTTTTTGGTCAACCAAATGCTCCAATCAAACTGACGTACACAACTTTTGGTCAGAATCTTGAAGCTCTGCTTAAAATCTCAAAGTGAACTGCCAAGATTGAACACAGTCTTTAAAGGAGCATTTATAAGGTTGTGCAAAAGCTGAGTGAAGGTGCGTGGCGTTAGCTACGCACTCCGAAAAATTTTTTGGGCTCATGACCCCAAAATATTCGAAAAGGGGGTATGGCGTCAGATTTTTTTACAAAGCTAATTTGAATTTTTGAAACATTTTGAAAATTATTTATATCATTTACAAATACAAATAAGTCTCTTACACTTTTTTATAAACCTTATAAGTAATTTACAAAATTTCGCGACCCATTTTCGGGGGGAGTGGGGGAGAAGGGGGCACTTTGAACCTCCACTGATCTACAAGTCTTTGATTCAACTGTACAAGGAAATGATGTTTTCATGAATGCTTCTCCGCACATTTCTAAAAAAGTAAGTCTCTGTGAAAAAAAAGGAATATTTCAGCCTTTCTAAATTAGGTCGGCAAAATCTGAAACTCACGTTAAAGGCGGTTGTTTGCGCCCCAAACATGAGAAGTGAGCAGGTCCGAGCTTACAGCATGCTGCCCTTGGCTAGAAAACTGCCCCTAAAGGCAGTGTCCCCGTAAATTTTGCACCTCCACCTTTTTGCATGTTTTAGGCCTTTCCACCACGTAGAATCCGAATTTGAGCTTTGAACGGGCTGAAAAGGCCGATTTTGGGGCGTTTTTCTAATTCCAAAAAAGCAGCTCGGACGAGAACTCTAATGTAAAGTTGAGAGGTCCTCAGACGAAGACCCTGCCGCCTGTAATTCTTGCCTTGGATAGCATGCATCACGGGGGAGCCCTCGTGGGGTCCCGCGCCGGACAGACGGGGAAGGCCGTCTAAGCGCGCGCCAGTTGGGGTTCACCCAGCCGGACTGCGCCTGGAGGTCGGTGGGTGACCAGGAACTCCACCACAGTATATCCCCCAGGGCCCGAATCTGCCGGGACACTGCCTTTAAACCCGCATGCGCAAGCCATTCTTACACGCGCTCGGACGAGCTTGCTATTCCCTTATCACCTTCAGAGGAGGCATGCCGCAACCTTATAACCGTGGGGGTCCCGGAACGACTCTGCGTCTTTAGCCATGGCCAGAACCGTTCCACTCGTCCAAATTCGGAATTGCTGGTTTGGGAAAATGCTGGTTTTCGCCATTTTTGCGCTCTGCAAGATGAACTTGCGGATTCTGCGCGTCGAATTACCTTAGGTAAGCGGAAAAACTCCAGGTCGAAGATTTGCCGAGGAACGCATTCGAATTAAGTACCATGAGACACCTGAGCAAAGTTCGTGCTGATTAAATATGTTCAAAAACGTTATGAATTTCGTTTCGGACTGCAGAAGATTTAGACTTGCTGGTTTGCAGTGCTTGCTCAGAAATTGAGACTTTCGAAAGATGCGTCCAATCTGCACAAACTTTGTTTAGAAGGGAATGACTGCTTTCATCTCGATATGCTTCTATTAGATAGCTTCTGATGTGCCTTTCAAAAGTTATGATTTCCTCTGTTTAGCCAAATACAAAAGCTATGATTTTTCAAAATTGATGCTGCAAAGCTTTGCGGCAACCCAGTACTAAAAAGTGAAGGACAGAGGAATGTTGAATAGTGATGAAACGCACTAGTTTCACGCAATATCTGATGGGGCCAAAGCGATGTCCAATATGCCAGCTATGTTCGTAATAAAAGTCAGCGACTCTGATTAACTTAGTGATTGAATTTAAAGGCACCATCCACTCAAAATTTCTACCTCCATGTTTTTGCCGTCCCAGGGTTTTCTCATATCCCTGATTCCGAGTATCAAGTCGGAACTCCGCGAAAACAACGAAAAACCCCGTTTTCAGAACCCGCAGAGCGATTTCTTCGGAACGATGACTGGTTGGGCGCGCACGGATGGGCGGGAGAACGTCACGCCCACTCAAAGGGGGAGTCAACGTGGCGAATTTGTCACCCGAGCGATCTTGGAAGCAATTTTCTCGCTTCGGAAGCAACTTCTGCCAGCTCGAGTTGAATAAGTGTACAGATGGGGTCCCCACTACTGTTAGGCATCAAAATCCATCGACCCCATCTTGGATGGACGAGTGACTTGCTGTGAAATATGTGTCTCACGTATGGTCTTTGTACCAAAACTCAACCGTAATCCATTTTTTTCGCAAAACACCTCTTACTGCCTTTGCGGCGTTGCTTTCTAAGAGAATAACTGAGAAATCGAATTAGATAGCTCAGTGTCAAGCACTTGCCAAGGTGTTTGTCTAGTTGGCGACTCTTTGCGGGAGAAGACAATGTATATTGAGAAGTCAGTCAAGTTTCACTCAAGAGACCTTAAAAATTAGGTTATTCCGAA